TGAGGTGGGGAGTTTGAGACCAGCCTGACCAACATGGAGAAACCCCATCTCTACTCAAAATACAAAATTACCTGGGCATGGTGGCACACGCCTGTAATCCCAGCTACTCGGGAGGTTGAGGCAGAAGAATCGCTTGAACCCGGCAGGCAGAGGTTGCAGCGAGCCGAGACTGTACCATTGCACTCCAGCCTGGGCAACAAGAGCGAAACTCCATCTCAAAAAAAAAAAAAAAAAAAAAGCAACAAGGGGCACATAGCGGGCAGGGGCGTCCAGAAGCAGTCAGTGTTCTGTTCTATTTCCTTGGGTGGTGATTACAAGGATCTTTCACAACTTGTTAAGCTTGGCATTTATGTTTTGTGTAAGTCTGTTAGATCTTTAAGTTTTTTTTTGAAAAAGAAGAAAGTAGAGGACAGAAGCTATCTGGATATTGCTTAGTACTGCATTTCGAAAGGGAATACAGATAGAATACACCACCTTCGGATCTCTGTTCCTGGCACCCTGTTGTGTGTGTGTGTGTGTGTGTGTGTGTGTGTGTGTGTGTGTGTGTGTGTGTGTGTTTCATCAGAATAATAATAGTGGTATGGTTTTGCTAGAGAAGACAGGCATCCTCCTACATTTGGCAGGCCCTGGAAACCTCCCCCATCTATTGTAGCATCTGAGAAAAGACTGTCTTTCTAGGTCCAGTGCTGTATCCTCAGCCTCTACAGTAGTGCCTGGCAAACAGTAGGTGCTCAAAAAGTATCTGTTCAGTGGATTCACCAGTAAAACTACGTTTTTCAAGACCACATATTCCCAAAATATGTGAAGGAGTCCCGGAACTTCGTCTCTGAACTGTAAGAAGAGCTGTTGAGGTGGTGCTCTATGACGGCACATTCAAGGTTGTCAGTAAAACTCCAAAACATTTTACTGATGTGTTTCCAATATAACACATGCTAACATGTCAAGTGTCAAACAGAAGCATTTTTTCTCTGTGCTAAAAATACAACTCAGTCTGTCATTTTCAAATTTATTAATTAATGAATGTTTACTGAATTTTGTAATTTACCATAGAAATTATTAGTTTTCGATTTAGGGTATTTCAATCATACTTGTAATGCTCCAACAACACAGAATGACCCAAGATTTTATTACCACAATTAGAACATCCCGGCACATGGCAGGCCCTAATAAATACTTGCTGAATGAATTAGCAAACATTAAAATATGGCTGTTTTATAATGTTCACAAGGATATTGCATGACAAGGTACACATCTTTAACGTGTACCATGTCACTCTAAAACCTCCACGAAGAAAATATCACCTCTAAGATAAAATCAAGTACACCCGAGATGTGAACTGATTTATAAACCAACCTACAGACTACCTTCTATCTTGCTGCATTTATGGCCAACATGAGATTATGTATGTACTGACTGATGATGGGCAATGTAATTAGCTTTAGAGTTAAGAGTTAAATAATTAATATGTTAACAATAAATTGTTAAGAGTTGAATCATTAATATGTTCTTAGACATCGTTTTATCGGTTCATGTTATTTAGTTCAGGCTTGCTTGGTAACTAAGGAGGGAAACCGTTTTCCCAACCTCCCACATCCTCACCTGCTCCCTACCCGCACATTCATCTCAATGTAAAGCATGTTCAGGACTTGCTCAATTCAGCCAACCACACCCTAGTCTGGCTATCACCTCCTTCACTGCCAAAGTCCTCCCTCCTTTACCGCCAAGTTTCTTGAAAGAGTGAAGTTTATCATCTCTGCTTCCTCACCTCCCCATCATTTCTCAGTCTGGAGCAATCTGGCTATTCCCCTCCACCTCTCACCAAACCTCTCCTCACCGAGTCTTTGCTCACAGTGGCTGAATCCAAGTAGCGTTTCTCGACCCTTCTGCCTTATGCTCCACAGCCACCCTGTCCAACACAGGGGCCACCTGCCACATGTGGCTGCAGAGCACTGCAGTGCAGGAAGCACCAGGGGGTAACTGAACTTTTATTTAATTTTAATTCAAGTTTAATTTAAACACCGATTCTTGATTCAGTTATAAAATTCCTTGGAACAACTTGGGTATGTGAATCTACTTTTTCAACCCTATATTTTATAAAATCTAAATACAGATCAAGAACTTGCAAAGAAAATTTAATGTCTGAATGAAGATACAACACATAGATGTAAGTGTTAGTGTAACACACACACTGGATTTCAAAGATACATCATGAGAAAGATTAGAATCTCATTAGTAATTTTAATATTGATTACATGTTGAAACGATGGTATTTGGGATATACTGAATTAGGTAAAATATCTTCTTAAAATTAATTTTAACTATTTCTTTTTATGTTTCTTAAAGCAGCACCTGGAGAGTTTACCATTATCTATGCAGCATGTATTTTATTCCTACTAGACGGCGCTGCTCTACGGCATTAGATATGAATGTGCACTAATTCTCCATTGCTTCTCTCCTTCTACTTCTTGGACCCCTCCTTGTATTCTGCAGCATCAATCATTCTTCCACTTCCCCTTAAGGTCAGTGTCTCCCAAGGCTCTCTCCAGTTCCCCTGGGCCCCTGTCCCAGCACCCACCTCACCTAAGGCTTCCACTATTCCCACAGGTGGCTGACTTTCAACCCTCTGCCAGCAAATCAGCTTGGTCCCCTGAGAATGGGATATTCACCTGCTCTCTGTACATTTCCAGCTATGCCTAAGTATATCGACATTTAATCTGCCATTATACCTGCTGGGAATTTACCTTATTAATATTTTATAAATCGGGCCCCCTCCTCCATTTCCTTGAGGCCCTCTCAATTTCTCAACTTATCAGTACAATAGCTTCCAATGTCTAACCTTGGCCTCTTCTCAACCAACTTCCTTTTGCTGTTAGTCTCTAAAACTCACACTGGCAACATGATTTCATGATTTCTCTGACTTTTTTTTTTTTTCTTTTTGAGACAGAGTCTTGCTCCGTCACCCAGGCTAGAGTACAGTGGCATGGTATCAGCTCACTGCAACCTCTGCCTCGCAGGTTCAAGCGATTCTCCTGCCTCAGCCTCCCTAGTAGCTGGGACTACAGGCGCCCACTACCACGCCTGGCTAATTTTTTGTATTTTTAGTAGAGACAAGGTCTCACCATGTTAGCCAGGATGGTTTTGATCTCCTGACGTCATGTTTTGCCCACCTTGGCCTCCCAAAGTGCTGGGATTACAGGCGTGAGCCACCGCGCCCAGGCACGATCTCTCTGTTTAAATACTCTGGTGGCTGCCCCACTGCTATCAAGATGAAAACCTCCTATAGTCATATGCAAGGACTGTACTTGCCAGTCTCTCTGGCTTCGTGCTTCATCACCAACTCCACAAAACCCCAAGTTCCAGGCACACCTAAGCACCCGCAGTCCCCTGAATACGTTTGCTTTCTCACCACCATACTTTGCATAGTGTATTTATACTGACAGGAATATTCTCCCTAACTATATCCTTGCTCTCCTAGCTGTCCTTCAGAATTCAATTAACACGTCACCTGCCCCAGGAAATGTCTCCAAACCCCCACGTGAAAGTAAGTGTCCCCCTCTACGTCACCATCATACCTAAACACAGCTCTAGTCATAACCCAACCACGTTACCCTGGAGTGACCTGTTACCAGTCTGGGAATTCCCTGAAGGCACGGATTAAGTGTTTTAACTCCCTCAACTATACTTAATAAGTACCTACTAATAAGTAGATAGAGTATTAAACAAGGAAAACACAGAATAAAATGTAAGGCTAGAAATTTTTAAATAGGCTAATAAAGTCATGAGTTAAATGAAGAAAGTTAACCCAGTCACGCTAAAAACACTTCCTTAGATGGCCCACTTCAGGACTCAATGAGCTATCTAATGCAAAATTATATGCTAAATATGCATTAAAATATCAAATATTCAATAAAAGCAGCAATTAAAACAATTAAGGACTAAATATGTTATTTTGTTTCGTAGGCCTTGTTACGCATTCTTTCTTCCCTAATTCTACTTATCCGTTCCTTTCTTCAGTTCCTTACATTAATTTTCCTTCCAATTAAAGTTTGTATTCTTTCCTTCCATTGCCCAATCCCTCTGACTCCCTTCTATTCTTTCAAACAGAAAAATATAAATAGTCTTCATCATCTCTGTTAGCAATTTTGTCTAAAACAAAGAAATCATAAAAAGCAGTGAATGTAACAATCTCACCAGTCAGACTGACAGACAAAACCATATGCACTCATCTGTTTGGACGATTTCATAATGCTAAGCAGCTAATCTGAACCACATGCACACTAAGTGGAGTCTGACCGGCACCAGCAAGTCCTGGGGTTGCTGCAGAAGGCAGTGTGGGGAACAGAAAAGAACAGCCAATGCGCTGCTGATGATGGCAGCTGCAGCCCAGCCTCACCACAGCTCCACCTGACGCCTGCCCTTCGGGAGAAAGCAGAAGCAGACAGGGAAATCTAGGAAGCTGTCAGCTATCTGGACTAGCACAGTAGGTAGCCAGTTGCAAAGTGTGAGCAGCAGAGGCCACGCAGCACCAAGATCTAGTCTGTGCACATGCTGGCCCAGGTGCCAACTTCCGGACACAAAATAAAGAGTGCTGCTCCCGCCGCACTGCTGAGTTTTCAGGTTACTACAAAACAGATTTTGAGAGAGGCAGGGAAGCAGGTGGAAAGGAATCTAAACCAGGTTGGTAGGCAAAAACAATTTTTTGAAGGCTAGCAGTTGTTAGAGTGAAACGGAATACATTAATCACCTGAAAGAAGTTTTTCAAAACCACTCAGCATTAGGTCTTCACCCTGAAGAATTGTATCTTTTGGAATTCACAGTCGAGCAAAATTGAAATCTCTTGAAAAACTTTTTACCCAGCAAGATAAGGTAACAGTGAAGGGTATGTTCGAAAAAGTTTCTAAAACATCACAGAACTGGATCCCCCCCAACAATTTTTTAAGCAGCACTTTTAAATTATCAATTTAATTCAAAGAAGTGCAGAGCAAGATTTACTCTCTTACCTGTACCCAGGAGTTAAGTTTTGATTGTCTAGAATTCTGTGGTTCTTTGTTAATTAGACAACATAAGCACCATATTAGAATTTTTTGGCTTTCATCTACAAAAAGGAAAACTTAATGAGTAAGTTTTATTAAGCAGAAAAAATAATCAATATAAAAATATTTGAAACATTATATTTAGGAAAATCTCAAACTACTACGTTCACAGTACAAGTATCCCCGAACGTAACATTTGCTTTCTCACCACCACACTTCGCACACTCTCTTTCTGCTGACAGGAATATTTTCCCTCACTCTATCTTCGCTCTCCTAGCTGTCCTTCAGAATTCCCTAAGCTTAACTTTGTGGAGTGTTTTCCTTCTTGTGGCCTTGGGATCACTTAACTCTTGTGTGGTCAATTTCCTTTCTGTAACAGTAGCAATTTTTAAAGCCAAATGAGAAACACGGAAAGAACTCGGAGAACTGGGCTTTCCTCATGATCAGGTTTTCACATTTCCAGCGGTTAGTAATTTCGACCTTTCTAAGGCAACTTAATGGTTACAGGCAGTGAGTAGCCAATATTTCTGATTTAATCTTTTAATTTTCTAATTTGCCAAAATATCTTCACTTGTTAAAAATAAATTTAATAAAAAGGATTGCTTTAAAAAATATTTTTAGTACCAAGTGTTTGGATAAAATAGAAGTCTCTTACATGCTTCTTTACTCTAAAATGTAAATTCTTTAAAACACAAAACTTTACCAAACATGCAATACAAATCTGAACTTTGAAATCTTACATTCTGCAGAAACATCCACTTGATGAACCACTTTCTTTTTCCTCTTGTGGTGACTGAGTCTATTCCAGTGAAGATTGTATAACACAATTAAGAAACAAAAACGAGGCCTAGAAACTGAAGATGTCAGTACCCCAGCTAGGGCAAAGCAACTTCAGACTTTACAAGGCCATGGAGGTGAGGCCAAGACACCCGGTGCCCGGAATCAGTCCTCTCTACCACCTCATCTTCTGCAATCTGATAAACCCAAGCTTTCTCTTTTTTCTGAGACACGGTCTCGCTCTGTCACCCAGGCTGGAGTGCAGTGGCATGATCTCAGCTCAGTGAAACATCCACTTCCCAGCCTCAAGCCATTCTCCCACCTCAGCCTCCTGAGTAGCTGGGACCACAGGTGCGTGCCACACACCTGGCTAATTTTTGTATTTTTTGTAGAGAAGGGATCTCACCATGTTGCCCAGGCTGGTCTCCAACTCCTGAGTTCAACTGATCCTCCTGCCATGGCCTCCCAAAGTGCTGGGATTACAGGCATGAGCCACCGTGCCTGGCCAAAACCCAGCATTTCTAAGGACTCCATTAACAAAGAAATAAGAACAATACCAACTCTAGTAAGCGACTTCTGTATTTTTATCCACAAACTAAAGATTGCTAACAGTAATTTTTAAACTCGTTTTTTCCCGTGAACATACATAGCTTAAGCTTTTCCAATAACTAACATCTCTGAAAAAACTTTATCAGGGGTTATTCTGAGGCCATTCATTTTTTTCCCCTAGTTTTTATGAGTTCAAATAAAGTATTATAAAGCACTGGCTTGCCTGAGATCAGTTCATTTCAAGAGTCGTATAATTTAACCACTAAAGATCCTATGATTCTTCAGGCTGAACCAACGCCACTAATTAAAAATGTGACTGTTATGCTTCCCATAGTTTAAATATTAGAAGAAATTCTACCTAGCTTCATGTAGCAAGTGTGACAGATGCACCCAATGACATCCTTACACATGCAGCAGGCTGTTAAAAAGAATGTAATCTGATGGGGATCATTTCCAAACACCACTCACCACCGAAAAAAAAAAGGAAAAAAAGAAAGGAAATGTCAGTTTATGAAGCTTAAATCTAAAAGAATACCCAAAACTGGGAGTTTCCCCAGGTGTGGAGTGATTACACAAACTTACTTCAAACAGTTTATTATTTTTTATTTTTCTCCCAAAAAATAAAAAAAGAGAAGGAGCCAGAGAAACTTCCACCCAACCTCTAGGGGGCGACTTTCCGCGCCCAGAGTCCACGCACCGAAATGCTAATGAGCTTACGGCTTTGCTTAGGCAATTTACGAACATGAGCCCCAGACTGCTATTCACGAGTGCCACCAGCACTCACTCCAGGGGCTGGCATCTGTCAGACTCCACCCTAGAGGCCTTGAACTCAGGCTGGAGCATCCCACAAGGCATGTTAAGTGAGATGGGAAACTGCCTTGGATTCATTGCAGGGACAGTCGCTGACAGTCCATCTTAGTGTAAATTTGGATTCTACAAATGAGTGGAAAGGAAAGGAAGATAACAACATACACTTGCCACCTTATATTTTACTTTTTGATATCTAGAATTGAAATTCCACATAAAAGCTAATGCAATTCTTTAAACTTTAATTCTATAAAGTATGAAGGCAGCAAATGTTTAAGACAATAAATATTCACTGTTTTAAGCTGCTAAGTTTGGCGGAAATTTGTTATACAGAAATAGAGAGCGAATAGTGAAGAAGAGAGGTAACAGCTGTCATGCTTAATCACGAGGGCAGAGTTAGAAGCAATGGACCAGAATTTCAGAAGGTGAAGGCAGTATTTTTACACTGAGGACATCACCAAATAAAAAGGTATTCTCTAACTTTCCATTATTATCAATTTCTTCTCTTCTCTTTTCAGTATCTTTTCATTTCCAACTCTTCCCTCCTTCCTTATTACCCTTTTCTGATCCTGTTCTCCATGAACACTACGTATTACTTACTTTTTTCCATGATGAAAACAGTTTGCTTTTACTATAATTAAAAAGCAATTTTGGGCTGGGCATGGTGACTCACGCCTGTAATCCCAGCACTTTGGGAGGCCAAGGCGGGCGGATCACGAGGTCAGGAGATTGAGACTATCCTGGCCAACACAGTGAAACCCCGTCTCTACTAAAAACACACACACACAAAAATTAGCCGGGCGTGGTGGCACGCGCCTGTAGTCCCAGCTACTTGGGAGGCTGAGGCAGGAGAATGGCGTGAACCTGGGAGGCGGAGGTTGCAGTGAGCCGAGATCATGCCCTGCACTCCAGCCTGGGCAACAGAGCAAGACTCCATCTCAAAAAACAAAAAAGAAAAGCAATTTTGATATTATAAAACCATAAGAAAAGATCCCTTCCAGGCAACCAGTGAAACAATAGGTCCAACACATGCAACATCTGACTGCTCACGGGGTTTCGTGCTGTTCAGCCACCTTTGTGAGCTCAGAGCCAGGGCACACCTCAATAGGAAACTGAAATTTAAGAGCAGTTCAAAAGGTAACACAAGCGTTGAGACAGAAAGGGACGGAGAATTTGTTTCTGGTTGTCGGAGGGGCCAAGGTAATGCAGATAAGGTGCTAAGGAAAGATCATAAATACGAGTTCAAGGACACCAGGATAAATCAGTCTGAACTCCCACTTTTACAAAGAAATACGAGACCCCACAAGTTCAGTTGCCCTGTCTTAGAGAATCACATCTACAAGTCTGCCCCAGCAGGGTCTCTCCTGGGAAACCCTCCTTTCCTCTCAGCAGCTGCTACTCCCATCAGAGAACTGTTACACTGAGCCAGGCTGACCTGCTTAAGTATCTCTTTTTCCCTGACTGGAAGCTCCCAATGGGCAGAGACGATGAGCCGCGTTTTCCTAAGGGCTGGCACACACACACAGAAACACTTTATAGGCTGGGTGTGGTGTAATCCCAGCACTTTGGGAGGCCGAGGTGGGCGGATCATGAGGTCAGGAGATCGAGACCATCCTGGCTAACATAGTGAAACACCGTCTCTACTAAAAATACAAAAAATTAGCTGGATGTGGTGGTGCATGCCTGTAGTCCCAGCTAGTCAGGAGGCTGAGGCAGGAGAATCCCTTGAACCCGGGAGGCGGAGGTTGCAGTGAGCCGAGACCACGGCACTGCACTCCAGCCTGGGCAACAGGGCAAGACTTCGTCTCCAAAAAAATAATAATAATAATAATTGGTAAACACGTACTGAATGAATATGTATGTGCAAGTGAAGCTAGCTAGTGGGAATGCCAAGACTGGAACACTTCAATCACAAGATGTGATCCAACAGGGACAGAACATTACAGCAAGGTGGACTTTAAAGTCACATGAGGAGTGGAGTTCTGGCTCTTCTTAGTGTTGTATTCTAGGGAAAGCGACTCACTGACTCTAATCCATAATTATCTACCCTGCAACACTGTCATCAAGAATTAATTAGGTCCATTATGTAATCCACAGAGAACAGTGCCCAGCTCAAAGTGAGCAATGCCTCTCACACTACATCATAAACCTCCCCGTGTTTCTCACATTTCTGACTTGAGGACGTATTACATCCACCATGTACGTCAAAAGGACGTAGAATTTCTTTCCTTCTAAAAAGCAGTTAATAAATCCATGAAGCCCCTAACAATGGGTACTGCTTTTAAATGAAGGTCATTCAACAATTTCTTTTCCTTTTTCCTGCCATCAATATTGGCCTAGATCAATGTTCTTCAAACTTTTGGTCAAGAAGCATCAAGGGTTATGAAATCAGTATCGGGTCATGAACACCACTCATATAGTGAATATGGACTGTACAGAATAATAATACAGTAGTCCCCCTTTATCAATGGGGGAAATGTTCCAAGACCCTCAGGGATGTCTGAAACTGAGAACAGTACCAAACCTTAAATACAGTGTTTTATTTCCTACACACACATACCTATGATAAAGTTTAACTTATAAACTAGGCACAGTAAGGGATTAACAAGGACAACAATGCAATAAATCAACTGAAACTACATAGTGTAATAAAAGTTATGTACTACACTGTATTGTTACAGTTGATTTATCATATTGTTGTCCTTGTTAAACCCTTAGGCCAGGCGCGGTGGCTCACACCTGTAATCCCGACACTTTGGGAGGCCGAGGCAGGAGAATCGTCTGAGGTCAGGAGTTCAAGACCAGCCTGGCCAACATGGTGAAACCCCATCTCTGTTAAAAATGCAAAAATCAGCTGGGTGTGGTGGCAGGCGCCTGTAATCCCAGCTACTTGGGAGGCTGAGGCAGGAGAATTGCTTGAACCCAGGAGGTGGAGGTTGCAGTGAGCCAAGATGGCGCCACTGCACTCCAGCCTGGGTGACAAGAGCTAAACTCTGTCTCTCAAAAAAAAAAAAAGTTACGTAAATGTGATCTCTCCATTTCTCTCAAAATATCTTATTGTACTATACTGTAACTGAAACTGTGGAAAGTCAAGGGGGGGTGCTATTGTATGTATTCTTTCATGAGATGTGTTTCACTGTGTGTGTGTGTGCGTGTGTGTGCATATCCATATGCATATACACACGTACACATATACATAATGTATTTCTGGTCAAAGATGTTAGAGAAACACTGACCTAACTGCAATAGATAAACCAAGGACAGGTAAGCGTGGCCCTGATGGGCAAACACACTGCTGCCTCACTAGTTCTGCCATTTTGAATCAAGAACTTGAAGAAGTTTAGGGGTTGGGGAAAGAGGTGTAAGTGGCAAGGAGGATGGACATACGAGGGTGGGGCAGAATGAGGGAGGCTGAGTGTGTGGGCGTCCATGCACGCCTGCTCACAGGGCTAAACACACATGTTGTTCCTTTCCCGCCTAGTTCACATCTCTTCCAATAATGACTACGACAGCCTAGAAATGGGAAACTATAGGATTCTTTACAACATCAAAGGGGAATATGCATTTTATTTTGGGTTCTAATGTCATTACATTATGCAATTAGTCTTTGACTTTAAAAAATCTTAAAAGTAAATATTACATTAGCTAATAATACAGTCAATCTAAAGCAAACCTCAGCCATGCTCCTTGGGAGGCCCTAGGATGACAAAGAACTAAAACCATGGTTCCTGCTCTTGAGAGTCGTGCTGTCTTCCAGGGCATCAGACAGTGAAGTAAGTGGATCACAGGGAGACGCTGGAGGCCATGGAGACTCCCAGCAGCTCCTACCTCAGCACAGTAAGGCTATTTCAAAGGAGAATGAGTGTGAAAGGAATCCTGCCACAAAGTGCCTTCAGGCACTGTTAGTAACAGGACCCGGCTACCACCATGAGGTATAGTTGTGGAAGATGAAACAGGAAATGAGATGGACAGCAGACAGGAGCTCGATGAAGGAATACCTCCCCAAAGTGCCCCCACATTCATCTCCACCTTGGATAAAACCAAAATGGCACCCTTAAATAAAGTCACAGGGGCCAACATCAAAGGCAAAGTCACAGCAGGATTCAGACTCTCAAGAATGACTTTACAACACGGAAACAGTGTGTGAGTTATGAAACCGTGAAACAAAATTAACTCAGTATCATTAGTATAGCTATTTTATATTGAATTTAAAATGAAGTTATGAAAGCGATTACAGGCAAAAACAGATATTTAAATCATCTAGGAGTTGCTGTCCTCTAATACAAAGAGCTCTATTTTCCTGAAGATCTACATGGGTGCGTGCATGCGTGTGTGTGTGTGTATCCATACAAACCTACACACACATACCTGGACAACAGTGTAGGAAGCCATCTTTGTAATGAAACAATGAATACATTTGATAAGTTGTTCCATAAAAAAAAAAAATAGGAGAAAGGTTCATAATGTAAGCCTCTGTGAAACAATGCAAAGATTATATTTTGAGAGAACACGTTTTGGATTCTTACCGTATGCTAAAATAAAAGGATTCCAACAAGCTTTTGCCAACAGTTGATCAATTGTGGGGAATCTTTCAAAGATTGTATTAGAATCCTGTGAAAGAAAAATAAATTTTGGTCAGTAAAGGCATTATGCAACTCAGAAAGACTGAACTGACATTACAGGTTGAGGGAGCTTGAATGCTTCTTGTTTAGTATACCATTTTTAAAAGTAAGCAAAAAAGGATTAGAGAAGATCTTTAGGTAAGTAATTCAAATAAAGTTTAAAAAGCAACCACCCACCTTACTTCATCCTTAAACGAGGTCACCAAACTAAGATGTATGACATAGGTAAAATCAATTGTGTTGCAAAATTAATTCTACTCATACTTAATAGCCAATAAAGGCTTCTTTATTTAAAAATAACAAAGACTGCTTAAGAATTGAAAACAAATTATTGGTGATATATAATCCCATATCTTTATCCTGGTTTTTCATTCTAACATAAGAGAGGTTACGAACTCAGCTCCAGTAAGACTATTTCAAAGAAGAAGGTTTAAAGGGACGAGAATCTGGAACTTGTAAAAAGAAATAAAAGCACCCAAAGCATAAATGTATATATCTCTGTTTATTACTATTTTGATAACTGTATGGCAAATGACATCATACTTAGGCTGTAACAATCTAAACCCTGAAACAGAAAAAGGATCAACCAAATAGATTTAAAAACACACACACACGCTATTGTACAACTGGACCTTTTTCCACTTGTTACCTTTCATAAAAGCTCAGAAATAAAAGCAAACTAGGATAGGATAAGATGCAAGCAAGCTGACACGACAGGCACTTTCCGCTCCTGCGGCAACACGTCCCACACGTGTCCCAGCGTCAAGGCTGGTCCCAGACGTTCTGGGACCACAGAAAGGTCAAGTTCCATATGTCTCATTAAAAAAATTTTTTTAAATTAGCATTGGTTGTTCACACAGACTGTATCTTTCCTTATAGTTTCTAAAAACGTATGAACTCATACTATCAATACAAATTATTCTTCAAATTTCCTACTTACTCTCTGATTCCGGGAAGAAAAGCTTAATACAAGGACACTTTGTTAAGTGACAATTTTGCTTTTCATTTTGAAATTAAATACAAAATACTAGCTCATAATATATAAACGTGCTAAATCATAAAAATATCTATCATAAAAAAACAACATCAAAATGAAAATATAGTAAATTTTGAAAACAATAAATTATATAATAGTAAAGATACTCAAAATCTTAATATTTATAAAAAGTATTACATTTATAAGAAAAGATCGTAATATTTATCATCTCTTAGGACAGCCCACTTGAGAAGAGGGTTGAGGAAAGGTTAAGCATGTAGCAAATTCTCCAGGATTCAAGGGACACGAAGGCCTTTAAAAGAATCCCATTTACTACTTGACAACAAGCATGAAATCTTGATTATTTAAAAACAACTTGCTTGGTCAGGAAGACTCATGTGACAATACAGCTACTCAAGAAGAAATTTTAATAATATAATAAATCGGAGACTAGGAAACCAGCTCTTGAGTAATCTGTCTTCCTAATCCATTGGCACTTCACTCACCACCACAAGTCCTGACTCCGGGTGGCATTCTGTCTTGGTGAAATGTGGCAGAGTCCCTGAAGTCAGAAAATAATTCCATTATTTTGGTCCACTACTTACCATCTCTTTCAAGGCTTCATACATCTTCCTCAGGAACTCCTGGAACCGAGCCAGGTGAACACAGGTGTCTTGCTGGGTTTCCAAAGTGGAAGCCTGATCCCACACAGAAAGCTTCTGCATCCAAAACTGATAATCACAAGAAAGATCTACTGAATCTTGAGCCATCTTGGAAAAAGGGAAAAGGTGATGTCCCTTCACAGCAGTCTGTCCAGCACTGAAGGAAATGTTGGGCACACATTAAATCTGTAAGAAAGGGAACAAATGGAAGCATTTCTAAAAGGCTCTTTTATCAGAGCCTTCACGACTCACTGATGGGTGATGGGGGGATTACGAAGAACTAACATAGCACGGCTCCTATTTTGGAGTCATCTCTGAACTGTCACCAAATGTGTCGCCCAGCTGGAGCTCCACGTTTTACCATCTCAACTTTTAATCATGATACTATCATTAGGCTAGAAGTCATTACACCTCCACAGGCACAACATGCTAATTACGCACAAAAAGCACAGCTGATAATACTTTATATCTTCTTTTTAAGATTGAGCTATTTTTAAATGTTCTGAATATGAAGTTGATTTGAGTATTTTAATGTAATAGGAAATCAAAAACATCCATGAGTGTTTAATAATACTCTGTGCCTAAGAAATCTTTTTGAAGTTCTTATGTTTTATATGAATTTCTGGCTTCTCATTTAGGTGTAAAAAATCTCTATGCATTACTGTCTAACGAATTTTTTCCCCAGTTTCTCTTCATTTCTTAGAAAAAAGTAAAATAATTGATTCCACATGCAACAATTTAAGCAATCTTTTCAGATTGCTTTATATGCTTGATCTCACTTCATTCACACGAAGAAGCCATATTTTAGTAAAGTAATAATAAATTCCACTTACTGAAGAGGTATACCAGTCCTAAGCCACAGCAGATAACATCTCATAAGCCTGACTTCCTACCCCTGAAGGCCATGATGAAAAGAACAATGAAGTTACACAGTGAGCCTCAGGTGGAGCTGGCTCAGCAGCTCCAGGTGCCCCTCCCATCCCACACCCCTTCATCGCCCACAGAAGCCGGAAGCAGGAATCGCAGAGGAGGGAAAGCTGCCTCTCAACAGCTGCAGGCCTTCCCAGGCTCTGACACTCCCCGGGCAGGCAGGATACTCAGCAATCTAACTTCAAAAGACTGGTGGTAAACAAAGTGAGTTTAAATCCTCAACAGCCATAATTAACAGGTAAAATGCTCCCAATTAAATACCCAAAATATCAACAAAGGCGGTTCCCATTACTAAACAAGAAAACAAGAAGAAATCTGAAACGACTGTACAATTTGGCTGCAGTGCAAAAAAATCTAGATTGGGAAAGTTTTAAAATACCTAAAAAATGTGCGGTTTTCATGTTCACTTGGGCAGCACATACACTAGAACCTTTACAGTTTTGAGAAGGATCATGTCAAAATGAAAAGGAAGTTTAATAATAGAGCGAATATATGCATATTGTCAAAATGGTACTTAGCCAAAACTCTAGGTAACGTCCATGCCTCCTCATTGTCTTCCTCATCCAAGCCCTCACCACCACCTGTCAAGTCCATCGCCAAAATAAATGTGTGTGATCTGACTTGACTGCGTGCACTTCCTCCCGCCTCGCTGCCGCCCTCCGCCTAGCCCTGGAGTGCTGCACCGTCTGCTGCCGGGCTGGGCCCGCCCCTCTCCAGTTCACTCTCGATGCAGCAGACAGAAAACACTGCAGCAAATGTAAATGAGACCAGCACACTCCCCTGGGGAAAACCTCTCGTCACAGCTTCCTTGAAAAGAAATTTAAACTCCCCGTAGATACTCCCAGCTGCTTGGAGTCCTGACCCTGCAAAACATGGCTCCAGCACCCTCTCCGACAGCCCTTGTTTCCTCTCCCCGGTCACCACGGTCCAGCCCAGGCCTCTCATCTGCGCTCCCTCTCCCCGGTCACCACGGTCCAGCCCAGGCCTCTCATCTGCGCTCCCTCTCCCCCGGTCACCACGGTCCAGCCCAGGCCTCTCATCTGCGCTCCCTCTCCCCCGGTCACCACGGTCCAGCCCAGGCCTCTCATCTGCGCTCCCTCTCCCCGGTCACCACGGTCCAGCCCAGGCCTCTCATCTGCGCTCCCTCTCCCCCGGTCACCACGGTCCAGCCCAGGCCTCTCATCTGCGCTCCCTCTCCCCCGGTCACCACGGTCCAGCCCAGGCCTCTCATCTGCTTCATGCACACCACAAATCCTCCCAGGCCTTTCTGCAGATTCCGGGTAACTATCCTGGGCTTTATTCGTTCCCTTAGTTACCGCTTCCTCTACTGCTGTGTAAATTCCCTGTCTTCCTAGAATGCAGCACACGCCTGGCAAACACTCAAAAAACACGGAATTAAGGAACGAATAATTCACCGGTATTCCTCACAGTACAGTTCTAAGTTAGACGCCACAGCAAAATGCTTCTCCAGATGAAGTGATTTAATTTTATTTTCAGGTTATTATTTTTCTAGACAAAATCACACTCTATCTCCCAGGCTGGAGTGCAGTCGTGCGCTGTTGGCTCACTGTAACCTCCACCTCCCGGGTTCAAGTGATTCTCCTGCCTCAGCCTCCCAAATAGCTGTGATTACAGGCACATACAACCACGCCCGACTAATTTTTGTATTTTTAGTAGAGACGGGGTTTCACCATGTTGGCTAGGCTGATCTCGACCTCCTGACCTCAAGTGATCCGCCTGCCTCAGCCTCCCAAAGTGCTGGGATTACAGGCATGAGCCACTCTGCCCAGCCAGTAATTTAATTTTTAAAAGGCAATTCCCCACCAAAAAAAATTTTTAAGTATTTTTATGTTGCCTGTGTGAAATTTAATTAGTAATATCTCATTTTATAAACATAATAATAGTTTATACTTGGATACATTTATACGATGCTCTTGGCAGTATACTAAATGCTTTATTCATACTGATTTAATCATTACAGCAACACTGTGAAATGGGTACTATTATCATCTCCATTTTACAGAGGCCCCAAGAGATTACATAATTGCTCAAAGTAAGATTATGTAAAAAACTGAAAGGAAATAACTGCTAGTAAACAGCAGAGCTATGATTGTGGAATATGAATCCAGGGTCTGGCTCTAAAGTTTGTGTCCTTAAGGAAATAAACTGAAGAGGCGGGGCATGGTGGCTCACGCCTGTAATCCCAGCACTTTGGGAGGCTGAGGTGGGTGGATCCCTGAGGTCAAGAGTTTTGAGACCAGCCTGGCCAACATGGTGAAACCCCGTCTCTACTGAAAACAACAAAAATTAGCTGCGCGTGGTGGCAGGAGCCTGTAATCCCAGCCACTTGGGAGGCAGAGGCAGGAGGAACACCTGAACCCCGGAGGCGGAGGTCGCAATGAGCCAAGATTGCACCACTGCACTCCAGCCTGGGAGACAGAGTGAGACTGATTAAAAAAAAAAAAGAAGAAAGAAAGAAACTGCAGAAACAAACTGATGAATTTCTTAAATATTTCATGTGTTACTACATGCAGATCAGTTTAGATATTTGGGAACCCAGTAAAATGAAGAACTTTTTGATAAAAGAGACAAACATTTTATTCAAATAAAACTGCAGACCTGGAAAGTGGCTCATGCCTGTAATCCCAGCACTTTGGCAGGCAGTGGCAGGAGCACCACTTGAGGCCAGGAGTTTGAGACCAGCCTGGGCAACAAACCAAGACCCCACCCCTACAAAAAAGAAATTTTTTAAATTAGCCATGCATGATGGCAGGTGCCTACAGTCCTAGCTACTCTAGAGGCTGAAGCAGGAGGGTCGCTTGGACCCAGGAGTTCAAGGCCTCTGTGAGCCGGGATAACACCACTGCAGTCCGCACTCCAGCCTGTGTGAGAGAGCCAGACTGTCTCAACAAAAAAATGCAAACAACCTTTGCTCAGCAATAGAAATGTATCTGATTGTTTTAAATGGAAACAGCTTTAGGAATCACGGAGTGCAGTGATCCTCAATATGCTGCTCCACAGCCTCTGGGGCTGGGGGGTGAAAACATGGTGCTATGGTTGTGACGACCAGGGAGGGGCGGTGGCGGCTGCCACCAGCATCTGGTTAATCAAAGCACCTTGTGCCATCAGCCACATGTGGGATGATCACACCTGTTGGGCAAATCCAACCCTGCTGGGAAGCTGAGTCTTGACAGGTGGAACTCAGTCATCCAAAGACTCTCTTAGTGTAGATCCCTAGAGGTATCTGAGTACATGTTCTTAATAAGGTAAGGTGTTTCTCTCAGCATTTTAAACCAGTATTTTTAAATATTTCACTCCCCTCTCTTCTTCCTTCCATGGTTTCTGAGGAGAAGTTGAATGTTCTGCCCCTCTACAGGTAAGGTGCATTTTTCTTCTGGCTTCGTTCAAAATAAAAAAGCTTCCTGTATTTGTGGTATGCTGTCTGACATTAACTTGGAATATTCTCAGTAATTACTGCTTCATATAGTTCTCTTTTAAAAAATTTTTTATTCCCATAGGTTTTTGGGGAACAGGTGGTATTTGGTTACATGGTAAGTTCTTTAGCGGTGACTTGCGAGATTCTGGTGCACCCATCTCCCGCTGTGGAAGACAATTTGTTCACGGACCGGGGCGGGGCAGGGAGGGCAGGGATGTGTTTTTGGGATGAGAAACTGTTCCACCTCAGACCCTCAGGCATCAGTCACGCTCTCACACGGAGCGTGCAATCTAGACCCCGCACGTGCAGTGCACACGAGGATTCACGCCCGTGAGAACCGAACGCTGCCACTGATCTGACGGGTCATACTCTCACACGGAGCGTGCAATCTAGATCCCGCACGTGCAGTGCACACGAGGATTCACGCCTGTGAGAACCGAACGCCGCCACTGATCTGACGGGTCATACTCTCACACGGAGCGTGCAATCTAGATCCCGCACGTGCAGTGCACACGAGGATTCACGCCCGTGAGAACCGAACGCCGCCACTGATCTGACGGGGAGCGGAGCTCAGCCAGGCATGCTCACTGGCCTCCTACTTACCTCCTGCTGTACAGCCTGGTACCCATCTGTGGCCTGGGGCTTGGAGACCCCTGCTTTAGAGGAAAGGAAGATGTGCTATTGGGAAGGTGTGCGTGAATGGCACCAAGATGCTGGCAATATTCTATTTCCTGACCTGCGTGGCAGTGACTATGTATTCACATTTTAATGACTCACCAAAGTATAAATCATGTTTATATGCTTTTCAATATGTTACTTT